GTTATCTAGTCTACACTCATTCCATGCCCCATTTTTTTCTCTCTCTCTCTCACTCTCTTTCATGGCTACTTTGTATATATAAACAAAGTGTGTGTTTTATTTGATCTACCATCACTGATGCCAACTCATTTGGCAATGTTTTTGTTATGCGGAATAAATCTTAAGAGAAGTAGACATGCTTGGTTTGTTGATAGTTGAAGAAAATGGCTGAAAAGCGACGTTTACTATAATACAAACAGCTGAGATCTAGAATCTAAATTTAATGAATGGGAGCACTCACAAAAAAATACAAGCAACGTGTTTGTTTTAAAATTTGGTACTCTTTAACTTTCTTTTAAAAAAAATTTCTTTCCATATATATAAGCTTTTGCATTGCTGTGCTCAGACTCCCTGAACTATCATACTATGGCTTCTGTCTCTTTTACAGGTCTTCTTTCTCAACCTTGCAGATGAGGAGCTTTTGACGTATGGTTGAGTTGTCTACGGAAAAAGGTTTTGGCCTCTGCTTGACTCTGGAAGTTTTCTGCTGTTGTAGAAGACATCGGGAGAGTGGATGAAGGAACGTTGGGAGCATTGAGTGAATTGTATCGGATTTTTGAAATATAATTCTTCTCTATCGTTTTTGTGGCTGATCCTTTTCAATGCATAAGGAAGAGTTTTTAAAAAGCTAAGTGATTTAGTGTTCGGCTTGTGATTTCTGTGAGAATGGAAGTCAGTGTTCTGAGTGCTGAAGACAGGGGAAATGTATCGGCTACTCTCTCCCAAGGATGTTTTGCGGACACCGGCGACAAGACCACGGCCATCAGTGAGAACTGTCATGATCAGAATTTCCTGTCTCTCAAGGATAGCTGTAGTGATGAAACATCGCCCAAATTACAACACAGCATTTTGTGTACAGGAACACTGAATGTAGGGCAAACGAGGGAGTTGAAACAACAAAGTGGTAACAGCAGCAGGTCTGATGTCACCCACACTCAGAATACAGCAGCCTCGTGTGACTCTTCTGCTGCATCTTGCAACGGGGCAGCTTTTGAGTCGCAGAACATTCCCACGACTGACATGGAGTGTGAGATCACAGAGCTGGCAGATAGGAGGAGTTTGTTCAGCAGCAAAGGTTATGTGAACGGTGGCGACTCGGAGGCCCACGCTCCTGTGTCTTCGGGAAAGACAATAGACAATTGTTCCCTTTCTTTCTCCTGCAGCAACAACAATTTATCTGTGTCCAGTTCTAGTCAGGAGCCGGTGAGAGGGCAAGGGGGAAACATCACGTCAGTGACGGCTGCTCTCACCCCAGATGGTACTGCTAAGAGGTGTTCTCATTCTCAGACACATCTTTTGTTTCCCGATGAAAATTATGCCTCGCAAAACAAGACGTCACACCAAAGGTTGTCGCTCACGGAAGATGTCAGTGATTCTGTGTCAGAAACCCAGCCAAAGAGATCAAATTCTTCGATACACTCAGGGAAAGACCCAAGTCCCACAAATGGGCCTAGTCAGTCAAGAAATGTAAACAGGGACAGCCCAGGGAAATGTCTGGAAAAAACAATTGTACAACCTTCTCAGGAAGCTGGTGAGAATGTGGAAGACACCTTTGGTTCTGTGCCGGATGTTGGACTGCTGCAAGTAAATTCTGGTGCTTTTAGACATTCTGATAACGCAAAATGTTCTGCTAAGTCAAACGACAATCAACAGCCAACAATCTCTAGTGGTTGTCCAACGACAGCTGATGGGGCTGACCACTGTACTAAAATTGCCTCGTCTTCAGACGGGGCAGAAGGTGAGGGTAGAACTTCCAGCAAGTCTTTGCCATCGTCTGCGGAGAACTGCACACAAAGTTCCTCAGCGGTAGGTGGTGAAAAGAATGCTTCGGTTCCCTCCGTATCTGAGACCGTGCAAGGTTCTCAGGGCAGCAGCGGTTATCGCGTTCTCACCAAGTATGTCTTTATCAAGGCTCTGCCCAAACAGAGGAAAAAACAGAAGAAGAAGTTAGGAGTGTTGTATAAGAAAGCTTTTAGACACTGTCAGGGGCTGAAGGGCTCTGAGAAATCCAAATCTGTGTTAAAAAAGAAGCCCAAATCTTGTGCAGGTAAAGTGAATGGGAAGGCTTCAGTGAACAAGCCTGTGAGTGCTGCCATCTCCACAAAGACAAGTCCAGGTGAAAAAATCCACAGCAGGACGGCATTCGAGTCACAGGTGTCTGTCTCTGCTTCGAAGGCAGTGGCCGGATCTCAGAGAATGAAGAGAGATGGTCTGAGCTCAAGTGTTTTTAGGGAGGGAGAGGTGCCAGGTCAAAACGGGAACAGCGCTAGGGATGCCAGGAGACTCAACAGAGAGGCCAAAAGAAACGGGTCAGAAGAGTCTTTAAACAATCCATTAAGGGTGAAGTTCAAAGAGAAAGTTGCTGGTCGAAAAAGCAAGGAAAGTGGAAAGTGTGAGCGTATGAAAAATGTTAACGCAAGAGAAAGAAAGAATATGGAGAAAGAAAAATCTCTAAAAGGAGAAGAATTTAGTGATATGTGGACTAACGAAGGTCCAACCAACGATGTGGTTGGTGTGGCTGAGGATTTTGAGTCACTTTCAGAGGCTCAGAAGGTTCATAATCATAAAGATAAACACATCAAAAGTATTGGTAACAGAGAGAGGAAAAGGAATAGGAGCAGAAAAAAGAGAAAAGAAGAGCATAGAGCTAGGAAGGAAAGTGAGAGGAAGGCGAGAGAGTCCATGGAGGGAGTGGTTGTGAAAGAGGAGAATGAAGATGAAGCTTGTGATGATGATGGTGGCTGTGGGGGCAATGAGAGAAGAGTGCGTGCCTGTGAGGATGTAGACATAGGGATCCTGGGGAAGAAAACTTATCGCAAGGATCTGACCTTGGAGGAGAAGGTGTCAGTAATTCGAATGTTGGAGACACCGGGCACCAAAGTGGCAGATGTGATGCACCGGTATGGGATATCGAGCTCGGCTATTAATCGTCTGAACCGGAACAAACACTTTATCCTGTCGTGCTCGGCTAGTGGAGACATGAGCGGCAAGCAGAGGAGAGCGAGAGAGTGCAAGGACCCGGAGCTGGACCGGGCGCTGTTGCGGTGGTACCGGGCCGTCCAGGCACAACGCGGCTCAGACGTGGGTTTTGCCGTGTCCAACCTGCTGCTCAAAGAAAAAGCCCGCGACCTGGCCATAGCGATGGGCAAGACGTACCAGCCGCGGGATAACTGGATCATCCGCTGGAAGCACCGGCACAACTTGCTGTCCAAGGCAGGCCTGATCCGCGACAAGGAGGAGCTGCGGCGGTTTGACGAGAACATTGATCTCGCGACCATCCTAGAGGGCGCCGCAGCCCCGGACTTGACACTGGAGATGCTGGAGAAGATGAAGAAAGATTTGGACTCAGTCAAACAGCAGGAGAAGCGAGAGGAGTTCCTGATCTGCGAGCACTGCGGCGTGCTCGTCAGCAGCAAGAAGAAGAGGCGGGAGAACACGCACGTGGCTGGCTGCCCGGCGTCTGCCTTCAGGAAGGACCTGACCCTTGAGGAGAAGGCACAGGTGGTGAGAGCCCTGGAAAAGCCCGGGATGACCATGGTGGCGCTGGCCAAGAAGTACGGAGTCTCCTCCTCCGCCATCAGCCGCATTAACAAAAACCGGGTCGACATCTTGGCCAGACGAGCCAGTGGCTGTTTCAACTCGACGAGAAGGAGAGACAGGGGGAGTAAGGAGCCCGAGGTAGAGAAAGTTTTGTGCGACTGGTTCCGGATGCAGCAGGAGCTGGGGATCCACGTGTCCGGCACCATGATCCGGGACAAAGCCAAAGACATCGCCAAAATTATGGGCAAGGATTTCTGGCCCTCGGACAGCTGGGTGTTTCGCTGGAGACAGAGGAACAATGTAAACACTCTCAGCTCTTTTTTTGTTGAGTCGGAGGAGGAGGAAGACAATGAGGAAAAGGAGAGGGGGAGGAGTGATGTGTGCGAGGAGGGGGATGTAGGACTTGAAGTTGTGATGGAACCAAAGATAGAGTGGATGTGTGAGGGTGGGGAAGACACCATTGTTCCCGCAGTTTCCTCAAAAAGGAAGAGTGAGGATCATCCTGAGGAAGGTACCATGGAGAAGAGGGCCCGTTTGCCGCGGTCAGTGATGTGTGAGAAGTGCGGGTTTGTCTCCTCCCGGCTCAAGAACAATCGCATCAAAGCGCTGCGGCATGCCAAGGGCTGCCCGGACCTGAAGCCACGGAACGAGCTCACGTACGAGCACCGGGCCAAGATGCTGAAAGCCCTGGAGGAACCTGGTGCAACACTCAGCTCGGTGGCTCGCCAGTTTGGCGTGTCTGTCTCCTCCATGTCCAGGATGAACCAGAAAAAGGAGGAGATTTTGAACCACGGGCTCGACCACGGCAGCCAGAAGAGAATCCGCGACTGTAAAGAGCCGGAGGTGGCCAGCCAGCTTTTCCAGTGGTTTATGGAGAAGAAGGGGGAGGGCATCCATGTGACAGGGCCCAAGCTGAAGGAGAAAGCACGGAAGTTGGCGGCCGAGATGGGCAGAGAGTTCCGGGCGTCCAGCGGCTGGCTAGGACGCTGGCGACAGCGCTACAACATCGTGGGAACGTCGAGGCCCGGAGGGGAGAGAACTCAGAGACAGCAGCCGGCAGCGAGGAGGAAGAAGGGGAGGAAAAGTGAGGCGTGTGTAGAGGAGGAGGGGGAGGATCTGGTGGAGCAGGCGGTTCTCCATGCTGCCATGCCGGTTGTCGGGGATCAACTCTCAGGTGAGGACAGTGGCGTCGCGGGGACGGCGACGATGGTGCTGGATTCTCTCCCCTCCGTCCCTGGCCCGCTACAGGCTCAGGCACAGCCCGTCTTCCTCCACCAGCGGTTTCAGACCCCGTGGGGGGAGATGGCGCAGCCGCCCCCCGCCCCCTGTCTGTGGACCAAAGAATTCCTACATTCGTCAGGGGTCTCGGCAACTGCCGTCGTGTGTCAGGAAGAAACCACTCCGTCATTTCCGTACATCGAGTCGACCGCAGGGCTGCCCGGCAGGACTGTAGTCCACAGCGTCATCGATTCTTTCTCTGGCATGGCGTACCAGGTGCCGATGGCCGTTGACCCGGGAGGGGGTATGGGCGGCCGAGAATTTCTCAAACCCGAAGACGACCCTCAAGAAAAGACCATCGCTATGGTGAGTCACATCCAGCAGCAGATCCCGGGCCACGCCCTCCCTCACTCGGCCGGCCCACACATCCAGCACGTCTCACTTCACTCACACCCCCACCCTCCCCCACCACACACCTCTGCGAGCCAGCCCGTCCAACAGTCCCACATTCCCACTCAGCATCCCCCCGCTTCCACAGCTCACCCACCCTCGCACATGCTCCCCTCCCACACCCACACTCAGCAGCAGCAGCACCATCACCAGCCCCCGCCGCAGCAACAGCTGCAGCCCCAGCGGCCAGCCTTCGCTCCCTCAACCGCTCCCAACTCCACCACCTCTGCCGCTGTGCCTTCGCCAGATCTGGGAGAGGAGGACCCGGATCAGCGTCGCCAGGTGCTGGAAGCCTTCAAGATTGTCAGCTCGTTTGCCCAGAAGAACTCGCTGGGAGACCAGGTGCAGGCCGTACTCAAAACCATCGAGATGTCTGTAAAGGGGCAGCAAGTCCAGAGGACCGACGCAAACACGTACACGTCGATGTGATAGACAGACGCACACACATACACGCCTATGTGATAGACAGACACAAACACTTACATACATCTATGTGATAGACAGACACGAACACATACACGGCTATTTGTTAGACAGACACAAACATGTACATGTCGATGTGATAGACAGACTGTAACACATGCTTATCTATGTGATAAACACATACAAATACCTACACACACACACATATATATATAATGGACAGATTGTTACTACTTCGTGTCTTATGTGATTGACAGCCTGTAACATTTACACACGTCTATGTAATAGACTGACTGTAATATGTACACGTGTTTGTGACTGACAGATTGTAACACGTGTATGTGACTGACAGATTGTAACACATACATGTGTCTGTGTGATGGATATAGTGTGACAAATACACATCTATACACTTCTAAATGATGGACACAGTGTAACAAGTATACGTGTCAGTGGGATAAACTGCAAGTTACAACAATTGTGAGGCATCGTGGTAAAAATCAGGCACTCTTCAAAATAATGAAATCAAAGAAACTGACATTTTTCTGTCCGTGTTGCTATTTTTATAAATTCTTTATTTTTTAAATCTTCAATTTTCATGTCCATGTATAAAATTCCTGTGTGAATTTTGCTTAAAATCATTTATCAAAAGCACAAAAAATGTTTTGTTTCCAGGGACACTCAAGCTTTGTAAGTCACCAAACTTTGGTAGCCATTTTCTCATTAATTTTGCCTCTGACACCAGGTGACCCCACCTCATTCAATCGCAAATATCTCAACTTCTGCTCAAGATAGATGGGTATTTTTGTCATCAAAAGCAAGAAAAATTAACAAACTTTATCAAGATCCTACCAATAACTCCAAATGCCCCAAATTTGTCGAGCACCTGATTTTAACGTGTCGTGACGCAGTTATATGTATAAGTGTCTGTGTGAACGACCATGTGTAACAGCTACGCACCTATGTGATGTACAGCTATCACATATATTCATGATGTCACTGTCATGGTCAGACTATCACAACTGGCGTCTGTGGAGTAGCGGTTTGGTGCTTCGCCATCGCACAAGTAAGAAAAATGCTTTATATTATGTAGGTGTGAATTATTCTATAAAAATAAATATTTGTTTTTCTCTCTCCTACAAAATTTTCCTTTTTGGGCTTAGTACATTTTAACAGTTTAAGTTTGCTGACAGTATACACTTGTATGTCAGAGACAGATTCACGTTATGTACACAATGTCTGTGACATAGAGACTGCGGTCATATATATATATATATATATGTCTATATCATGTACAGACTCACATAATGTACACAATGTCTGTGTGATGTAGATATTGAACTGTCATATATATATATATATATATATATATATATATAATAGATATATGTCTATATCACGGACAGTCTCACATTATGTACTCAATGTCTGTGTGACGTAGACTCTGTCGTATGCAGATGTTGATGCCTCGGTTACACTGCAGTTACTACACATACTAGTCTATATATGATATACATTATATATATATATTTGATAGACAGATCATGTCGTCAAGGTGATTCCTCACTTTTTACCGCAAAGTCTCACTTTTACTAAATGAAAACATGAAATCACTACGCTGTTGTTCTGTTGTCATTTGGTTTTGATATTTCAAATCAAAACTTGGAGTTTGTATCTATGCATGCATGTACGAAAACGTTTGTAGATCTGCTGTCTTAAAGCTGCCAAAAGAAGCACAAGGAATGTTTGTTATATGAAAATGTCTTTGACGTGTGAAAATGCTTTAGACTTGAGGTCTGAAACTTAAATAACTCAGGGCACGATGGAGGTAGAGTCAAAGTGAGCCTGGCAGCATCAAGTATCTTTTTAAAAAGAAGAAAGGTTTCAAGTATTTTTTAAAAGTACAATGACTTAATCTTCTCAACTTTTATTACTATATGATCAAAACGGGAAGAGTTCTTCTGGACATAGGCAGTGTGGATGAAACATGCCGCTGTGAACAAATTGTGTCAGTGATTTTGTTGATTTGTTGGCCAATACCAGACAATCTACGTTTTTGTTTTACAATACCTGCATATCTGTGTGATTGAATGTTACCAATAGCTGTATACAAAATAAGTCATTCACACACATACACATACACCCACACACACACTTACACATATACACACAAGCTCACAGTCATACACACTCACACACACACACACACACTTACACATATACACACACACACACACACACACACACACACACACACACACACACACACACACACACACACACACACACACACACACACAGACAATGTGTGTATGCATGCACTGTGCCCTCTTGAACACATTTACACACAGACGCCAATACCAGAGTTTTGAGATAACAATTGTGAAGACGAGCGTCCATTACTTTTTGTTTTGTTTATCACATGAGCTATTTGCAACAAATTATTTTTATGACTGCCTTTTTATGTTGCAGTGGAGCTTGTATATTTTGTTCAGAACTAGAATTGACACTTATGTGAGGAGTGAAAAGAGAAATTCAGATTTTATTGAGTTGCCTTGTAACAGATTCTTAACTCCGAAACGACTATTTTTTATTTGTTTTGTTGTAGCCTGCAATCAAGGCAGTCAGGGACTGTAGAATGATGCTTTGTGTTTTCTCATAGAGAGATAAGTGAGTCCACTTTGAAGATCTCTGTCCTTGGTTTATATTATTTTGTTTTACCATGGCATGACAATCCCAGTTGTGAATTTGTACTTTTTAAAAAAAAATTAATGTATCTCAAAACTATATTGTTGTATTTGATTTAGTGGTTTTAGTGTCTTGAGTGTACTTTTAGAATTGCTAAAACTCGAGAGATGCGAGGGTGAAGGAAATCATTAGCTAGCTGTTCAGATGTTCCTGGCCCAGAAAGCAAAACTTTTCAGGCGAAAGAAAAAAAACTTTTATCCTTCTTTTAACGTATTTTATGATTCCTAACTACTTGTGTTTCTGGAGTACATGCAACTAATACCACAGATGGAGAAACTGCAAAGACGGAAAACAAAATTTTTATTTTTAAAGTACTGCTTGGTACATCTGAACAACAGGTTTTTAAAGTGCTGAATGATACAGATTGTCGCCGATGCTTTGAATGATGTGTAGGACATTGTAGTGAAATCAGGCGCTCCGTCAACATAGTGAAATGGAAGAAATTGATATTTTTCTGCCTGTTAGGCAATTTTATTTTTCACAATTTTATTTTTGGCTCAACTTCCTTTATATCCACTGGAAAAACAATGTTTATGTCTGTGTGGATTTTGCTGAAAGCCATTGATGAATGACACCAAAAAATTAGAATGAGCAGTTTCCAAGGACACTCAGGCTTTGGAAGTCACCAAACTTTGGAGGTGTGTCTCCATGTAGCCCAAACTTGACGAATGCCTGAGTCCACCACATCATGGCACATTGTATTCTTTCAAATTGTCAGAGATGCTCTGCATGATAATATTTTCTATCAGATTATCATGAAAGATATTTTTTTCACATTGTCGCAGATGCTTTGACGGATGTTTGGGCCATGGATTGTCTGCCCCGGTCCTGCTGTCTGCCCTCAGGGAAAAAGCTTGTTGTATTATTGTGTTGTGATCAGATATTCGGCTTGTACACAGATCTCTACCGTTGACACTCCACAGTGTGTATTCGCCGCCGGCTTACTCGACAAGAAAGTGTTGCGTTTTGTGAAAGCCTGCGAGAATCCACACTTTGGACACCAATGAAAACATACGATCTGACGAAAGAACTTTCGGATATATAATTATTTACCATGACAAATTTCTTTTACGCTACTTTTTCATGTACATTGTTTCTCCCAAATTTTATCAGAAAGAAGATGGAAAGTTGTTACGGTTCGATGTTTGTTTTTGTTTGGTTTTGTTTGGGGTTTTTTCATTTGTTATTATTGTTTGTTTTACTTGATTGGAAGTAGAAGTGATCTTAGGCTCAGAGACCTGTATATGCAATAAGACACTGATGCACCAGATTTGTAACCTTTGGTAATATTTTGGTTTTTTAGTTTAAGTTTTTTCCCCCCCCACCTGCTGAGACAAAAGTGGAACAGACACAGGAGGGGATTTTTGTCATTTTGTTTGTGTTTTAGACTTTTGTCATTGGCCTGCTGTTCAGACGTACTGGGTCAAAAAATTGTGAAGTTTTCTCTTTGCTCTCTCTCTCTTTCTCTTGCTCTCTCTCTCTCTCTTTCTCTCTCTCTCTCTCTCTCTCTCTCTCTCTCTCTCTCTCTCTCTCTCTCTTCTTGCACTATGGCGTCATAAGTGGTCAGCGATGCTTACAGCACGCTGCAACTCAATACGTACTGGGGGGTCGTATAGGTTGCTTGTGTTCAAAATAAGTTTTGTGGAAATAAAAGATTTTTATCTTTGAAAAAGAACAAGAATGGATATGTGCATATAATGCAGGTACAGTATGTCAAAAGAATGAAACATTTGTCTCTCCCAACTCTTGTGACCCGCTATTTCCGGGATGCCTTAATAGTCAAAGAAGACTTTGTGCTGTTGAAGCTAGAGAGGTGAGCAGAGTAAGTCTGATTCCCTGTAAGGACTTCTCTGTTGACATCCACCTCTTGGCACTCATATTATGACCTTATGTAGTTGCGAGGGCCGTAAAACCTCTACTTTGACATTTCTCTCCCTCTCTCCTGTACATTGTTGCTGTCTGGGCTTAGTACGTTTGAACAGCTTGTTAATGAGTTGATGGTGTTTCTGGGGGTGAACGGATTAACAGTATTCTACTCGTTTTGTGGTTGAGTCTGTCTGTGTGTGTGTGTGTGTGTGTGTGTGGGCTCATGCTTATTTGTGTGCTTATGTGAGTTTGTGTGTCTGTGCGTGTGTGTGGGCTCATGCTTATGTGTGTGCTTATGTGAGTGTGTGTGTGTGTATGTGCGTACGTACATAGTCATGTGTATGTGTATTTGGGTGTGAAATGTGTGAGTGAGTGTATAGATGTCTGTGTGACTGTTTAGCCGAGTCTTTTTGTGTTTGTATAAGTTTTTGTGCCAGTGTGTTTGTGTGAGTGTGTTTGTGTTTGAACGTGTATGACAACACACATGTAACAGACAGCAAGTTTTGGTTCTGAGTTATAAAAATGTTTTTGTTATAAAAATAAACAACAGATTGCAGATTTTTAAACTCTGTGCCAGGAGCGATCCGTGTTTGAGCTTTTCTTTTTTCTTTAGTTTCTTTTTTATCTAACCCTGTCTTGCCTCTTCCAGTAGTATCAAATAAATATCGTCCTTATCTCTCCTCCTTTTCTCCTTCCTTATCTCTCCACCTTTTCTCTACATGTTACTCTCCAGTAATACCTCTAAAATGTTCAGCACTTATATGACATATTTGTGCTGCAAGTGCCCTCAAACTTATTTTTGCTAAAACTGAAACATATTCCAGTGTTGTTTGCGGGTTGTTGGAAGTTGGTTATTTCTGTCTGTCTGTTTGTCTATCTTTCTTTCTGTCTGTCTTTCTGTCCGTCTGTCTGTCTTTTCCCACCACTTAATTAATGGCCATTTTTTTTATCGTATATTGATGTGCTACTCATACAATCAAAGTGGGTTGTTGGCGGGTGCTCTGGTGTGGTTTGTTCTTCTTTCCTATCAAACGTCCATCGTCTTTA